CATCATGCTCAGTATATAAGGTCAGAGGAAGAAGGAGGAAGGGGGGACATCTGGAGGGATGGCATTTGTCTTCCCAAGGAACTGTTACGCGTGATGGTCCCTGCTCTCCTGGAGATGCTGAACACCTCCTGTCTGTGGGAAGCAGTGAATTAATTCCTTGTTTTGCTATGCTTGTGTGTGCAGCTTTTGCTTTCTCTATTAAACTGTCTTTATCTCAACCCATGAGTTTTTGTAGCTTTTCCCCTTCTAATTCACTCCCCCATCCCACTGATGGGGGAGTGAGTGAGAGGCTGCGTGGTTCTTGGCTGCTGCTGGGGTTAAACCACGACAACATCTGAGAGCAAAACACATCCTTTCTGTGGAGGACAATGGAAAACACTGGTAAATGCAGCAGGAGGAACTCTGCAGCAGTACACATACTCCTGAGCATAATGTGGCCCCAATACCTCCCCCAGGGCCAGCACTAGGGTTTCTGCCAGCAGAGCCAGCTGGACCCAGTTCCCCTCCCCATGGAGATCCCTACCTTGTGACTGGAAGGTGTAACCAGGAAAGGTGCACACGGCTGCAGTGAGGATGACAGTCCACGTGAGAAGCCTCCAAGCTATTGCCATGGTTAGAGCTGCTTGTCTCAGTGCAGGGAGTATTGTGCCAGCTGAAAGGTCGCTGTCCCCACATGTCTCTCCCTCGGCCACTGCTTATGTCGAGACAGGAGTCCTCGGTCCCTCCGCAGGCATCCTCGGCCGCTCCGTGCTCTCCCCAAGGCAGTGAGGCCACTGGTGTCTGGGCAGTGTGCTGGGCCCAGGCAGGTCAGCATGGGCTAATCTGAACCACAGGCATTGCCCCTGGGAAGGAGAGGGTGGGGATGAGTGAACAGGAGAGACAAAGAATGGAGGAGAAGGACTCGACGGAGAACACAGCGTGCAGGGTGAACGCTGTCTTGGAGAAGGTAGGAGTGAGCTGGAAAGAAAGCAAGAGAGGAGAAAGGGATGGGAAGTGAATGCAGATACAACCAACCACATCAGCTCACAGCATTGGAAAGCCACGTTGTCCTGCTACAGTGACACTGCACACCTTGGGGCTCTCCCAGCACAGCCCCCGAGCTGTTCCAACAGCAGCACTGTTATATACCTTATACCTGAGGAAAAAAAGCTCAGAATCAATGGGAACTCTTTGTCCTGTGGCAACACCCACAACGAAGCACAGACTAAAGAGTGACCTGGTCTCAGTTACCTGATCTCTTAAAGGAGAGCAGGAAAACACAGCATTAGCAAGGTGGTTGTGAGCAGCAACCCAGAAATCCTCTCTACTGGTTCCTCTGGATTTAAAATACACTTTAAGGACTGTCACTGCACTGAGGGAAGAGCACTTGCTCCCAGAGTGTGTTGGCTAAACCTAAAAAAGTGATTGGAAACAAAGGATCCATTCAGTGAACTCACCCTCAGCCCTATCCACAACTGGATCCTGAGCTTCCCATTGCATTTGTTATTTAAAATGATTTGGTAATGGCTTCAGTGAAAGGTTTTTGGCTTGCAGATAATTTCCACTCAGGCTGAGGCAATTATGCAAAGCTCACATGGTGCTGGAGATGGAGAGTTGCATAAAGCCTGTGGGTTTTCTTTCTATCCAGCGATGCGATGACGTATGCGATGAATATGGCACATACCTAACTACAGCCTGGAGAATCCCAAATAACTGAACAGTGATACTCTGCTCCAGAGCAGCCCTGCAGCAAAACACAAACCTTCCTGCAAAGACAACAGATCCTTAAGAAATACATACTGAAATCTGATTTCAGATACAGATCCCACTTGCTGGAGCACAGCTGGGAAAGGCAGGACAGATGCTCCTGAGCTGCTGGGAAGGTGAGGCTTGGCTGGAGATGGGAGGAAGGTGCTCTTTGCAAAGGTGTCAACAGCCATGGCATGTGTGTGGTCCTCATCCCAGTAAGGAAACACTTGGAATAACATCATTAACCCCTGCCATGCTCTGCTCTTGTGTGTTTTAAACAGCAAAGGCTGACAACTAGCTAGGGCACAGGGCAGGGGGGTCTGGTTCCTCCTTGGGTCTGCACTGCTCCCCTTCACCTTGTGTTCTTAGAGGAGTTTGCAGTTTATTTCTACTTGTTTTCCCACCTTTACTGTGCAGTTATTTGTGCTGTAAGGTCTTGGAATAATACCCATCACAGGCCAGCGAGTACATAGGTGAGGTCTGAGAAGACACTCAAGAGATTATTCCTGCCCCAGTAATTATCACAGAGTCATAAAATGATCTGGGTTGGAAGGGATCTTCAAGATTATCTTGTTCCACCCCTTGCCATGGGCAGAGACACCTTCCACCAGCCCAGGTTGCTCCAAGCCCTGTCCAACCTGGCCTGGAACACTCCCAGGGATGGAGCAGTCACAGCTTTCGCTGGGCAACCTGTGCCAGTGCCTCACCACCCTCACAGGGAAGAATTTCTTCCTAATATCTAACCTAAATCTACCCTCCTTCAGCTTAAAGCCATCAATCTAAGTTATTTATCTTTCCCGACTAAGCAGAAATGCCGAGAAGATGAAACACGCAGCTTTGAACCAACAATTTGGAGTTGCATATTTTAAATGCTTAGATTTTTAACTGCTTATGTACAGTTTAAAATGGCCAAAGATCATCTGTGAGACCTCAGGCTTGTCTCCCCAGGCACTGGGACCACTTGGCAGGCTGGTTTCTGTAAAGCCTAGACACAACATGATAGTGGGCTCAAAAATTCATCCTACAAGCAACCATGAGAATAAACTGCCTGATGAGAAAAAACTGTCTGAGTCTCATCTTGGGCTGTTCTGTTTCCCTGTGACAAGTAAAGGGAAGCAGAAAGCAGAGGTAAGAGGATTGGGCAGGAATTCTGCCCTTATCCACCACGACATGAGGATGCTGTGATCAGCACCCATGAGGCCACATCCAACTGGTGCCAGCATCATCTGGAGTGTCACCCCCAGGCTGTGGCACAGAGGGCAGAGCTAGAGTCACAGCAGGGCACAGCCCAGTGCTGTGGTGCTGCAGGGCAGCAGGAAGAGGGCTGGAAAAGGGAGAGGATGAACACAGAGCCGAGCGTGCTGCAGCCCTCTCCTAAGTCAGCATTTTTCAGCATCTATTAGAGCTCAAGATTCCAGCTTTTAAATCCTGTCACGGCTCCAAGGTCCATGGACAGAAAGTTGCTCAGCTGAAGTATATTTTCTCCTGGGCTTCACACTGCTCATTTTTCTTGTTTTCCAGCTGTTGAACCCTCTTCCTTAAGGGTCGTTGTTTCCCATCCTTCCTCTGCCTCTCCATGATCCTGTGTTGGGGTAGCCATGCCTGGTGCCCTCGTCTCCCCTCAACCTTTCCCCTTCAGCTCCTCTGCATCCCCCGGAACAGGGGCCGGGAGGGAAGCGCAGGCGCCAAGACCCTGTGGCCTTGACCTTGGGGGAAGGAGGCATGTTTGGAGCAGCACAAGTCAAGAATTACAGCTGCAAAATTCCAGTAAGCTGGGCTGGGGGAAGGGCCCAGCACACAGCAGGGAAAACATGGCCCCTTCCCAACGGCGCTTCGCTTCCGAGACCCCGACGAGCCTGTCTCTTGCAGGAGAAGGACCCGGAGCGAAGAGGAGAGAGCTGGAGGAGCAAATGCTCCATGCTGCTTCCATACAAATAAACTTTTCCATAACCTCACTTTGCAGATCTGCTCTCTGAGCAGTAGCCACTGGACAAACCCAAGGAGCCACAGTGGGACCAGTGGGATGCCAAGGTCCCACGGATTGGGATGGAGGAGCCGCGGGAAGGCTCAAGGCATGGGGTGACCTCTTGGGTCTCGTGCCTCCCTGCTTGGGCCGCTTCCGATTTGCTCCTTCCCAAGGAATTCGTTGTCCTTGGCAGGCACAGCGTGAGCGGCTGATGCTCCCTGCTCCCCGTGCCAAGGTGCCTTTCGCCGCGTGAACCCAAAGGGCTGTGCCGCCCGCGCGAGGAAGCGGCAGCAGAACTCCAACATGGTGGTGGCATCGACCTCACCTCTTCCCACACTCCCAAAACACAGAGAAGGAAGGGGCTGGGGAGGGGGGGTTAAAATCCAAGCTGGAATAAAGCAAAAAAAAGAAAAAAAAAAAAAGAGCGAAGCAGATGACAACTGTTACTAATTTCAACATCGGGGCTGCAGACAGAATTCCCTGAAAGCCCAGCTCCTTGGCCCGCTGCGTTATGGGAAGGTAATAGGAAGCAGATGGGCTCTGCTCTGGGCCAAGAGGAAGGTTCAAGGTGCCTCCTAGTGCAGAGAAGAGGAATTTAACTGCTTTTAAAGATGCAGGGCCTGGCAGCTTCCAGGTTTCTCATCCAACTTTTGCAAATTATGAGCTCAGGTGCCCTTTTCCCTTTTTTTTTTTTTTTTTTCTTGAGAGAGAAATAAATACAAACACAGGTTGCTGCTTCCAGCTTGCTCTGGTGGGAGGAAATACTTGTAGTGCATCCCTCCAGCCCTCAACCCTTTCACTGACATCTTCCTGCCATGCAGCACCTGGGAGAAGTGGGAAAGGTGGGAACAGTGGGAGCTGGGAGAAAAGACTGACCCCTCACCTGGCTTCAACCTCCTGTCAGGAAGTTGTAGAGAGCAAGAAGGTCTCCCTGAGCCTCCTCTCCTTCAGGCTGAGTCCCCTCGACAATTCCTCATAAGAGCTGTGCTCCAGAATCATAGAATCAAAGAAAAATTGAATCAAAGATTTGTGCACAGAATCCAAGAATCTGCTGACATGGAAGGGACTCACAAGGATCATTGAGTCCAATGCTTGGTCCTGAGCAGCAGAACCCCAACAATCTCACCATGTGCCTGAGAGCATTGGCCAAACACTCCTGGAGCTCTGTCAGCCTTGGGGCTGTGACCACTGCCCTGGGGAGCTGTTCAGTGCCCAAACACCTCTGGGGGAAGAATCTTTTCCTAATATCCATCTCAGCCCTTCTGACACAGCTCCAGACATTGCCTCCAGTCTGTCCCTGGTCCCAGAGAGCAGAGATGAGAGTTACCCCTCTGCCTCCCCTTGGGAGGAGCTGCAGACCCCAAGGAGTCTCTTCTGCTCCAGCTGAACAAGAGAAGCACCCTCAGCTTCTCCTCAGACCCTTCCCCTCTAGCACCTTCCCAATCTCCTTGTGCCTCCTTTGGATACACTCTAACATCTTTGGATCCTTCTTACATTGCCCCCAGGACTCGAGGTGAGGCCACTCCACTGGAGAGCAGAGTGAAACAATCCCTTCCCTTGACCAGGCAGTGATGCTTGAAACTGCTCCCAAATCACTTCTCATCATTTCTACATCCCTCCTCCTCCTCCTCCTCCTCTTCCTCTTCCTCCCCACCTCGACCCTGTGCAGCCCAGGGGATGGCAGGACCCTCACAGCTGTGTGCTGCTGCAGCTGTGTGTTTGCTGCTGGCCAGGGGGTTCTCACCCTCTGTGCTCCCCTGGGGCAGTGGGTGTTCCACGTGTGTGCAGTCACCACCCCAACACTCAGCTCCCAGCAGGTTCCTGCATGTTCCTAAGGACAGAGTAAACAGCACTGCTCCCCTCACCACACTGCACCTCCTGCAGCATGGCATGAGCACATGGTGGATGCAAAGCACC